AATTCTTTATCCAATCTTTGAGAGTTTTGGTAGCTTTTTTGCGAAACATGATATAGAGTGAATGTCTGCATTTGCAGAATTCATTTGAGAAATGTGCCTTACATAAGCACTATAAGACTTTGGAAGAGGAAACTCCAATGGGTGTAACTCCCCGTATCCTCTAATTTTAGCGCTCTATTGTTATCCGACAGGGGGCATTGGCTCTTATTTTGCATGCAGTGGATTTGCATTGGGCTATTCTCGGACAAGGGGACATCCTGCATATTTTATTTATTCAGATGCGGCTAATTATAGCTGAGTTTGTCCAGCTGTGATACACTACAACGGTTCGCAGCACTCCAAATATGGATACTGTTGGTACGGTTTGGGTTTCTAGAGCGCCTTACAAGCTCACTATCTCATCATCTCTCTTTCAAAGTACCTGAGGGGGAGCATCTTCATGAGGGTGTCCCATCACTTCGCCGCTATCTCTCAATGGAAGGAAATCCCTTTCCTCAACGGGTCCAACACTCGGTTCGGAGACAACTGGGACGGAGGCAGGCTGAAACAAAAATTCGTCATAATTGCTCCTTTTGCGAGTCACAAAGAGCTTACCATTGGTTCTTCAGCGGCTTCTGGTTGAGCATGCTGCCATGGTGGATTCACAGCCGAAGTGTCAACGGCATGGTTAGCAACCTCTTCTGACACGGCGTTATTCTCGTTAGTCGTTTCGGCGGAGGTCTCAACGGTTTTCGGCTCAGCATCAGCCGAGATATCGATGGGTACATTGAATTTTTCCTAAACAATGAGATAATTATGGCATACTATACTCTGGCTCTTGGACAAAAGAAAAACTTTTTATGGTTAAGACGACGAAATGCAAAATGCACCGTTTAGGCACATGTTTTCCCCTTGATTCTATTACACCAAGTTGGGTGTGTCATACCTGCTACCATAGGCCTACCGTAATGACAAGTATTAGGGATGTGGTGAAATGACTGCTACACGCGTCACACGATCACAATTACAAAATTGTATATCATTGTATTACTTTTGTTCCGATACGGCAATAGGTCCCCTACCATACACCTACCGTATCGTGACAGGTTACGATAGCGCAATCATTGAATGTTCGCGCTTGTCAAAATACACATCGGCCCTTTTTGAAGTATTTGTATAGCGCAGAATTTTATGCCCAATCCCACAGGGGCGCAATTACTGCGCTAATTAACCCGTCGAATACGGTAACTGTACGGTAGGGAACCTTAATAAATAGGAATAAATAGTGTACAGTAGTCACAAGAGCGTGCAGCAATCTATCACAAATAGTGTACAATAATTACAAGAGCGTGCAGCAATCTATCTTCTACCGTATACCTACAGTATCCGGGCATGTAGTAATGCGAATTCCGTGGCGAGACTCTCAAGCTAGATAACATCAGCATTCAAGCGGAAA